AATAAATTGGTTTCCAGTGTTCCTGTCAATATAGTCCTTGATGTTTTTATCTTATATAAGCAGTATGCTTTAAGAGATAAATTTGATATTCCTTTTGATCTGGGGCAGGCTGAGGGTATGAGTATAGCGTGCTGCGGATCACGTGACACAAGCTCACCAAAAGGAACCATGTGGAAGACTGTACCTCACAGGTTGCTTTTCGGTAGATCGTCTACCCCTTGTTGGGGAACTGGTGGTGTTGCTTTTCTCAACCCTGAGATAAACTACAATGAGAAGTCGTATGTCTGCATGTACAAAATAACGTATGTTTGTTACATTGACACGTTATTGATCTTTCAATTTAGGCAGGGTGGCATTTTGCCATTCTGTTAGTACCTGGCATCTCATCTGATTTGCCTGTCTTCAACAGGTTGGAGCAGTTCAATGACATCTTGTTTCAGGAGAACCGTTTAGTGCTGGAGGATGGCAAAGACGGAAACGTTGTGTATCCTGACTCTCCTTTGATTGGTTCATCTGAAGTCAAGTTTATATCTACAAACAAAGCTATTCATCTTGAACCTATTAAGGTTTGATTTGCTTGTCCCACTTCTACAATTGTACCCTTCCCTTTGTACAGAATTTTTATATGCTTTTTAATGAGATTAAATAACACCGTACTAGTGTTCTGTTGAAAACATCACTGCTAAATGTATGACAGGCTGACGACTGCCGTTCTAAGAGCTTATTGATAGATGGCAAGTCCTTCTCCCATAGCGATATAGATCACTTTTACCTTGAGTGTTTCCTTTAAAGTTTTAGTTTGATCCCTGTAGGAATTGTTAATATTGATCTGTTTAGCAAGGAGCAGAACCAGCCTCTTTGAGTATTCAAGTTCACTGGTCTTAGAAATGATTGTGTGACCAGGTTACCAGGGCGCCAAAATCTCTGTTGACATCGTAAGCAACGTTGAAATGAAGCCTGATTTTAGTAAGCTAAAAACACACCCAAAAAAAAACAGTTTCATGTTATCAGTGGACTAATTTCAAACCCAGCCTTATCAGCGTAATTGTGACACTATGTTTAATTTTTGTTGTATTATCTATGTGGCATACTGAGTTTCAAAAGTTATGGAATATATCTAATGTCTGTTGGATGAATTTCTTGCAGGATAGCTGGTACTCCAATGTACTTTATCTTGGGAATGAGGATGAACTTCCAATTCTAACTATGACGTGAGTTTCATTGTATTCATCAAGTGTTTCCCCCCAAAAAATTCTCATTTCCAAATGGCAGTTGAATGCAACTTTTTGAAGGGCAGTCAAAATATGTTTTCCCTGCAATGTGATTCTTAACTAATTTTCCTCTGGTGTCTGCAGGTGCCCTGCATCAGATATTGAGAGGTTCAAATCTGGTGAGCTGCCTTTAGCCCCTCCATCGGAGACATATGCGGCCACTCTGATAAGGGGACTGGTGGAAGGGAAGCAACTGGATGCGGACGGAGCCACCAATTACATCATTGCCGCTGCTGCAAAAGGCCCGTGAAGGCTGCTTCAGCGTGTGCTTTTGTACAGCTAGTAGGTAGTAGTAAGGATACACTATTTGCTATCGTGAGGACACAGATTGATTGAGGACCAGGAGTGTTGGACAAGCTTCATTCTCCGCGAATGGAGAACTTGGATCCAATTTGAATTGGGCAGGATGATTCGAGCTTGCCCTAGCTTGATCATTGGTGAATGGTTATCCCCCCTGGTAGGTTAAGTTTGGGAGAAACACTAGCTGTGTCGGGGTGGAGCAACACTAGCAGGTGCTCTCACTGCACTGGTGTCGTTCTTGTCTTGGATGCCATGCCGGTTATGTTATTTTGTACTGTTACTGCCTTCTGTTAATGTGTTGCCTGGAGTTAGGGTGTGTCTGGGAGGGTTCCTCCTTTTTTTTCACTGAAAAATGGCTGCAAATGGCTCCTCTTAGCAAACCGTTTGGTAAGGCTTCTCCGCCGTTTGGTAGGGCTTCTTCGGATGAGCCGGAGAGGAGCCCGAGCCCTACCAAACGGGGCCTATTGTTGTTTTGCTGCCGCTGGTGGTGGTGGGCAGCGCAATACCCACTCTCCGAGCGACGTTCGTTATTTCATTTGCATGCACTTCAACATATATAAGGAAATGTTATCAATTATGTGATACAGATATTTTTCCCCTTTTTTACGCCATACATATTTCAAGTAATATCAGAAAGCAGTTTTCCTTGTTTCTTTCCCTAGTACAGTTATATTTCTAGCCACTTCAGTTGCCAATTGCAACCACGTCCTCCCCAACCGTGCCACGCCAAATCTCAACCTCTAGATTTTAGCCATGTCGGTTAATCCTTCGCCCTAGTTAACAGGGTTTTAAGCGGCTTTGGCTTTGGCTCATCCACCTGAATCCTGGAAAGACGTAGAAATACAGTACATTTTTGCCAGATTCTGTAGGGAAACCTTTTCTTTTTTTGCAAAAAAAATACGAATGTATATAAGTAATATGAAAGTAAAAAAGTCGCCTGGTGCTTGTCTATGGGCCTATGGCCTCGTTGCCCGGCTGGCTCGAGAGGTCCTTGCTGGGTGGCCTTCAGCTTGAACGCTGGGCCGGGTGAACGCCACCACAGGTTAACTTCACTGACAGGTGGGTTTCTCTAGCTTTGGTCCCTCGGGCCGGTGAGAGGTTAGATGCCACCGAGGTGGGACAGGGCAGCGGCTGGGCCCATGTGCGGTGCGGGGCACTGTCGTGGGGTACGCTTATTGGTAGGATTGGAGGTGGGTGCCGGTTGGTGCGACGTCCAGGTCCAACGTCCGCGCTATGGCTCGACCGGGCGGCGGGCCCGCGGGCATGTGAGTGACCGCTCAGCTTTTCCGGGGGGACTCACGTGTGGGCCACGTGCGCCGCGGTCGTAACAGTGCTCTGTTGCCTTCCTGTCGTGAGCTGTTCCACGATTGGATCTCGCAGGAGCAGAGGACTCTGGCACAGCGTTCTGTTCTTCAGTGTGGAGTACTTTGGTCCTGTGTAGTGTAGGCCGTGGTCATGGGCAGGATGCCATTCTGAAGAATCTTTCTTTGGCCAGCGCGGCTTAGGTGCGAGGTCAGTGAATAAGTTGCTTTGCTGGAAGCGACCAGCTGGGGACAAGCTCAGCTCAATGCTCATACATACGTGTCCTCCCAACGAGAATTATTATTAGTGATTAATTAGGAAATAATCTCAAAAGGTGTCGTTTCACCGCCTCTCTCTCTCTCAGAGTCTACCATACTCCAGATTTCTTATGTGTTAAGGGCATTGGTATAAATTTACTTTGAGATTTGTAAGTATCAAGGGAGAGTCTCTCTAATTAATAAGTTGTTGCAAACATCATATTGCACTCTTTTCTTTGTATGAGTTTTTTCCTTGGATTTCTCATATAAAGTTTTTGAGAACTGCTCCAGTGCTCCTCTTCCTAAATGTTATAGGGATCTCGAAGCAGCTTTGTCAAATAATTATTTTTTTATTAATTGTTTTTTCATCAGGGTACCGTATGGGCTAAGCCTAGGCCATGTCCAGCCCTGATCCAGAGGCAAGTCATCTGAATCGGATCCCAGTCCCTTTGTTCGGTGAGACGCAAATGACGCAAGAAGATTGGAGAATGTGAGACGCAGCTGACGCAAGTAGATTGGAGGGAAGGGATCACCGTGCTATCACCTTTGGCCTGCTCGATGGCTGCACCAGCGTCGTCGATTGCCGCCGCCGCCGCATCACTCGCGCAAATTTAAAGGCCACCGCCGCATCAAACATGGAACGGCAATGAACAAAGGGTGTCCGGAGGGAAATGGAGATCAGATGAGAAGCCATCCGTGGAGCACCGCGCCGCCAGCTGCTATCGCACGAGAAAACCAAACGAGTGGAATCCGAACGAAGGGGAACGGGGGGCGAGATGAGCTTAGCTTGGGTCCGGACTAGGCAAGGGCTGGGCATGAACGGGCCGACCCCATGCAGGAACCAGGGAAAAATAATTAAGAAATAATTTATTATTTGACTGGACTGCCTTGAGATATGTGCATTTTTTTTTTGAGGAGGAGTACCGGAGCAGAAGCCAAAGTTTTTAACCAGACAATATCAATACAAGGTTATGTCAAACATCCATTTTTATCTAAAGAGGTTTTTGGTGGACGATGCTGAGACATGATATGCATTGTACTCTTTTTGTTTATGTGAATTTTTCCTTTGAGGTTTCTCATATAAAAATTTTTACGAGACAATGTCAATGTAAAGTTATATGCTTATCATCTATTTTTCCCCAACATGATTTTTGGAAGATGATATTTGACGTATATTGACCACATGATCAAAGTGTTTTTGGACTAAGGTTTTGAGTTTATCTCAAAGGGCCTAATAACATTGGTGATTGTATATCATTGTGTTTCTCCTTATTTTTCCCAGGTCTTAAGAAGTTTTTCCTGGTATACCGGTATTACTTTGTTTTTTCCCACAGGGTTTCCCAAAGATTCATAATGATGCATAATAGATGAACAGTGAAGACTATAAGGAGCTAATTAATGAAGGGGGAGTGTTGAGAATTATTATTAATGATCAATTAGGGAATAATTCCAAAGAGTGTCTTTTCACCCCTCTCTCTCTTTTAGACTTGTAATTATCTATCTCGTTCCGGTATATGTGTGTGTGTGTGTATATATATATATATATATATATATATATATATATATATATATATATATATATATATATATATATATATATATATATATATATATATATATATATATATATGCACAACACTGCTTAATGGAATAAAGACAATCATTTGCATCGCTGGCTTTCTTTCGCTCTCCACGTCTAACACACCTGTCCTGGGTGGAGGTGGACTGGACTACTGTGAGTGACGTGGATGGTTGATGTCCAAGTCCAACCAAGGTTGCCCATGTAATCTTGTCGCCAAAGATACTTGAGCAGCTGAGCTCTGATCTGTTTAACTGTGTAGCAAAGGAAGAAGGGCGCTGCCAAGCAGCCATGGCTTCCAATGATGAACAGCAGCCAATACATATTCTCTTCTTCCCGTTTATTGCGCCTGGCCACCTCATACCGGTCGCGGCCATGGCCGCCCTCTTTGCTTCACGTGGCATCAAGTGCACCATACTCACCACTCCCGTAAACGCCACCGTTATCCGCTCGGCCGTTGACCAGGCCAACAACGCCTTCCGCGGCACCGACGCCCTGGCGATCCACATCTCCACCATCCCCTTCCCTGATGTCGGACTCCCGCCGGGCGTCGAGAGCGTTGTAGGCATCTCCTCAGAGGCCGACCTCCACAAGTTGCTGGAAGGGGTCCAGCGGCTCCGCGAGCCCTTGGATCGGTTCCTGGCCGAGCACCACCCCGTCCCCGACGCCGTCGTGGTCGACAGCTTCTACCTGTGGGCCGCGGACGTCGCCGCCGAGCACGGCATCCCACGGCTGTCTTTCCTTGGGAGCAGCCTGTTCGCCCGGGCCTGTAACGAATCCCTGCTCCGCAACAACCCGTTCGCGCTCGCTCCAGATGACCCCGACGCCGTCGTGTCCCTGCCGGAGCTGCCGCACCGCGTCGCGCTGAGGCGCAGCCAAGTGATGGACCCAAGAAAGGATCAGCTGCAGTGGGACTACAACCAGCTCGTGCACGCCGCGGACCGGAGGAGCTACGGCGAGGTGTTCAACAGCTTCGCCGAGCTGGAGCCGGACTACGTCGAGCACTACCGCACGACGCTCGGCCGCCGTGTGTGGCTGGTCGGCCCGGTCGCCCACGCCAACGCCAGCGAGGACGACATGGCGCCCGGGGCGGACAGGTGCCTGCGGTGGCTCGACGAGAAGCCACGCGGCTCAGTTGTGTACCTCGCATTCGGCACACTAGCCAATTTCTCGGCGGCGGAGCTGCGGGAGGTGGCGCGCGGCCTACAGCTGTCCGGCAAGAATTTTCTGTGGGTCATGAAGTGTGGAGGAGCGGACACGACGGCGGATGCATCGGAATGGATGCCCGAAGGCTTCGCCGAGCTGATTGATGTCGGAGCACGCGGCCTCCTCTTCCGGGGTTGGGCTCCCCAGAGGCTTATCCTCGAGCACTCCGCTGTCGGTGGGTTTGTGACGCACTGTGGATGGAACTCGGTGCTGGAGGCCGTCAGCGCTGGGGTGCCGCTGGTGACGTGGCCTCGGCACGCTGACCAGTTCTACAACGAGAAGCTCGTCGTCGAGGTGCTCAAGATGGGGGTCGGTGTCGGTGCCAGCGACTATGCCTCCCACCTTGAGGTCCGCCGCGAGGTGATCAGCGGTGTGAAAATCGCGGAAGCCATTGACGGAGTGATGGGTGGGAACCAAGAGGCCGAGGCGATAAGGAAAAAGGCTATGGAGCTCCGTGGGAAGGCTAGGAGCGCAACAGACAAGGGCGGCACTTCGTATGACGATGTCGGAAAGCTGATCCACGAGCTGATGGCTCGCCGGAGATCTGTCCATTCATGACAAAGAACTTTTATGGTGTTTTTTTTTATTGTATCATTGTAATTTTGTAAGTCGGTAGAAATACCATTATTTTTCGTCTATTTAGAACCTTATTATAATTCTTATCCAGCTTCAAGCCGTTCGGCTAATGGTTTCTACGACGGTAAGCTAGCTGAAGTTGATTTATTATGAGAGGAAAACGCTGTTTCATAGCTGATAAGCCAAGCTGATAAGTTCAAGCGAATTTTCTACGTATTTAACAGCATTGGGCCCACGCACAAGTGACACAAGGCCATTGTATTTTCGTATGGACCAAAATACCCTGCTACTTCTCTTTCACTCCCCCCCCCCCACTCGCTGACGCATGCCCACAGGTCAGTTTCTTCTCCCATCTCCGGCCATCCTCCACCCCTCCACCACCTCCATTCCCGACAGAGGCAAGGGCGCGCCGCCACCAAGGGCGACGTGCTGCGGGCTCTGGAACCCATACACCGCTGTCGTCGGGGGCAAGCGGGGCCGCTCCCGCGCGGCAGAGGGAGGCGAGGCAAGGCATAGCAGCGTGCCCGCACGACTGGGGCTGGCAGAGGCGGACGACCGAGGGAGACGGAGGCAGAGCGTCGAGGGAGACGGAGTCGGGCAGAGTCCTGTGCGAGTGCGGGAGAAGCAACGAAGACAACAATAGGATGGGGGGCTGGACATGAGCCTCTATAAATGGGGTCTTTGGGGAGGATTTGGGCATCCAACTAAATTTAGGGCTCAAGTAGGGGCTTTGCTGGAGCACGGTTTTTTGTTTATGCACTCATATTTAGCTGTGAGGACTCAAGTAGACGCCCTGCTGGAGTTGCTCTTAGCTATAGTAGACAGTGGCGGAGCTACAGGGTATGCCATACCCTGCAATTCCTACGTGAGAGCAAGTATATATACGTATTTGCTGCATACCTGAGTCCCTGACAGCCGAGCCCGAGCGTGCTAGCGGCCGCGAGCGAGTGGCAGGCCGTGACTCCACGTCTCCGCGAGATCGCGAGCGAGCGTCAGGCCCAAGCGCCAAGGCGGCCCAGCGACGGAGACGGATCCCGGGACAAGGCCAATACGGAATTATGGATCGAGGCGGTTCGACTTCGTGTCTTCGCCCTGCCCTACGCCAGTACGCCGACGGCCGACGCTAATACCGTAATACGGTCATACGGATCTTCACGTGTCGGCTGTCGCCCGCGGCCAGTGCCCAGTGCCATCATTGTCGTCCTCGTGACCTCCGACCTCGTGTCCTGTTTGGCCTACGCGCTGCCCTACGGGCAACGGCGGCACCGGACACCGGCGGCATCTAGGCGAATTTGTGATCACAATTGTTCTGGTGAGATTCAATCTTTGTTCTTCGGCTTTAAAAAAAAATCATGTGTACTTTAATTGCTAATTGGTTAGCGCTAAAATTATAGAATCATCTATCACGCGGCGAGGTTGACGATTTTTCTCAACATCAGAGTCGATCTTGATTGATCTTTTGTTCAGTACTCATATCATGTGAGTGATCCATAATCGCATATGAGAGTTCAATCGTGCAAGCGCAATTTATTTAATTATTTGGCATTGTTTTCTTTGCACACTTAATGTATATTATTCTTGGATATACAAATGAGTTATCTGAGTGTTTGCAAAGAAGGGACTAAGATATTCTTAATGCAATATCACTTGTTAATGTGGCAAAGAAAAGAATGCAAGAATTGAGGTCTGACGGTTGGGATAATTTTCTTGAGAAGGTCACTTCATTTTGCGATAAACATGGTGTTGAAGTTCCTGCTATGGATGGTGATTATGTTCCTTATGGAAAATCAGCCAGGAAAGCTCGTACCCAAAAGCAAACAAATGATGACCACTTTAGAAGAGAAGTATATATTGGTGTTATTGATCAAATAAGTCAAGAACTTGATAATCGGTTTGATGAGATTAATATGGAGTTGTTGTCATGTATGTCGGCCTTTAGTCATTCCAAGTCATTTGCTTCTTTTGATGCACAGAAGCTACGTAGATTAGCTGAGTTCTACCCAAAGGAGTTTTCAAATAATAATTTGCTCAAACTTGAGTTGCAGCTAGATAATTATATTGATGACATGAGACATGATGATAGCTTCAAAGGTCTACACAATATTGTTGATCTCTCAGTTAAGCTTGTTGAAACAAAGAGGCACAAAGTGTACGATATGGTTTATGAGCTCCTCAAATTGGTATTGCTTCTACCTGTGGCAACGGCAAGTGTTGAAATGATATTTTCTGCAATGGTTTTTGTGAAAACAAAGTTAAGAAATAAGATGGGAGATAGTTTTCTGGATGACTTTCTAGTCACTTTCATTGAGCGGAATATTTTTTTTGAAGTTGATAAAGATGATATAATCAACACATTTATGTCCCTTCGAAAACGTCGAATAAAATAGTCACAAAAATAGCATTGTAATTCTCTGGTTCTCTTTTATGCCTTATTTCAATTATTGATATGGCTTTTGAACTATTTATATTATACTTAGCGGATGGTTTGAACTTAATCCATGAATTTAAGCCTTATTGTGTTATTTAGTGCATATATACCGAATCATGTTGTCAATTTTACAATTATTGCCGAATTGCTGAAATGGATTTACCGAATTGTATATGAAAATTTTTTGGCGGCATACCCTGAGACAAAATCCTAGATTCGCCACTGATAATAGATAAGCTATTTATTGATCAACTCTCCAGCATGAGCACCTATATCAGGGTCTCTACTTTTGATTTGGATATTTCTCTACTTTTGTTGGCCTATATTTTTGCTTTCACTCCAACACGAGCACCCATATTTGGGGCCTTAAATCCAAATGGCAGTTGAATGCAACTTTTTGAAGGGCAGTCAAAATATGTTTTCCCTGCAATGTGATTCTTAACTAATTTTCCTCTGGTGTCTGCAGGTGCCCTGCATCAGATATTGAGGTTCAAGTCTGGTGAGCTGCCTTTAGCCCCTCCATCGGAGACATATGCGGCCACTCTGATAAGGGGACTGGTGGAAGGGAAGCAACTGGATGCGGACGGAGCCACCAATTACATCATTGCCGCTGCTGCAAAAGGCCCGTGAAGGCTGCTTCAGCGTGTGCTTTTGTACAGCTAGTAGGTAGTAGTAAGGATACACTATTTGCTATCGTGAGGACACAGATTGATTGAGGACCAGGAGTGTTGAACAAGCTTCATTCTCCGCGATTGGAGAACTTGGATCCAATTTGAATTGGGCAGGATGATTCGAGCTTGCCCTAGCTTGATCATTGGTGAATGGTTATCCCCCCTGGTAGGTTAAGTCTGGGAGAAACACTAGCTGTGTCGGGGTGGAGCAACACTAGCAGGTGCTCTCACTGCACTGGTGTCGTTCTTGTCTTGGATGCCATGCCGGTGATGTTATTTTGTACTGTTACTGCCTTCTGTTAATGTGTTGCCTGGAGTTAGGGTGTGTCTGGGAGGGTTCCTCATTTTTTTTCACTGAAAAATGGCTGCAAATGGCTCCTCTTAGCAAACCGTTTGGTAGGGCTTCTCTGGCCGTTTGGTACTCCAGCCGCTTGGTAGTGCTTCTCTAGCCGTTTGGTAGGGCTTCCTTCGGATGAGCCGGAGCCGGAGAGGAGCCCGAGGCTTACCAAACAGGGCCTATTGTTGTTTTGCTACTGGTGGTGGTGGTGGGCAGCGCAATACCCACTCTCCGAGCGACGTAACTTCGTTATTTCATTTGCATGCACTTCAACATATATAAGGAAATGTTATCAATTATGTGATACAGATATTTCCCCCTTTTTTTACACCATACATAGGTCCCGTTCGCTTCGCTGAAAAAACAAGCCGAAACACCGAAACACTGCTCTGGCTGATTTGTTGTGAGAGAAAAATACTGTTCCGACTGAAAAAACAAGCTGAAAAATACGGATTATAAAACAAACCAACCGGGCCATATTTCAAGTAATATCATAAAGCAGTTTTCCTTGTTTCTTTCCCTAGTACAGTTATATTTCTAGCCACTTCAGTTGCCAATTGGAACCACGCCCTCCCCAACCGTGCCACGCCAAATCTCAACCTCTAGATTTTAGCCATGTCGGTTAATCCTTCGCCCTGGTTAACAGGGTTTTTAGCGGCTTTGGCTTTGGCTCATCCACCTGAATCCTGGAAAGACGTAGAAATACAGTACATTTTTGCCAGATTCTGTAGGGAAACCTTTTCTTTCTTTTTTTGCAAAAAATACTAATTTATATAAGTAATATGAAAGTAAAAAAATCGCCTGGTGCTTGTCTATGGGCCTATGGCCTCGTTGCCCGGCTGGCTCAAGAGGTCCTTCCTGGGTGGCCTTCACCTTGTTGACAATTATTATTAGATCAATTAGAGAATAATCTCAAAAGGTGTCCCCCCGCCGCCCCCCTCTCCGAGATTTGCAAGTATCAGGGAAGAGTCTCTCTAATTAATAAGTTGTTACAAACATCATATTGCACTATTTTCTTTTTATGAGTTTTTTCCTTGGATTTCTCATGTAAAGTTTTTGAGAACCACTCTGGTGCTCTTCCTAAATGTTATACGGATCTCGAAGCAGCTTTGTCAAATAATTATTTTTTTATTAATTGTTTTTTTCATCAGGGTACCGTATGGGCTAAGCCTAGGCCATGTCCAGCCCTGATCCAGAGGCATGTCATCTGAATCGGATCCCAGTCCCTTTGTTCGGTGAGACGCAAATGACGCAAGAAGATTGGAGAATGTGAGACGCAGCTGACGCAAGTAGATTGGAGGGAAGGGATCACCGTGCTATCACCTTTGGCGTGCTCGATGGCTGCACCAGCGTCGTCGATAGCCGCCGCCGCCGCATCACTCGCGCAAATTTAAAGGCCACCGCCGCATCAAACATGGAACGGCAATGAACAAAGGGTGTCCGGAGGGAAATCTCTTCTTATCGAAGCAGGAGACTTTGGCCGCCGCTCAGGGTGGCCACGTCGCCCCGAATTCCCTTGGGCGTCCGATCTCGTGTTCGGCGGCTC